TTTATAGAATTTTTCATTCATTCAATATTAATTTTGCACGTGTGATGCACTATGTTAAGTAGAATGGGATAGAAAAATGATTTTCCTGTCCTGGAAATATTTTCAAGATTTCAGACTTTCTCATTCCACATTGGGGTGAATTGCATAACTTACAAAGTTTTTCATGAAAAATCAGGCAGAGAAACCCACCCCTTAGCAACCTTACACTATCCAATAGCTTGATGGTTTGGGCATTGGTACTGTATGTTAGAAGGCCAAGTTCAAGTCCAAGCTTTGGCTAATTCAGAATAGGGACTTGAACATTATTTTTCCCATATCCCAAGTGAGTGTCCTAAGCATCAGACTATTGGCCATTGTGTGATGGTTCCCTTTAACGTTTTAGTAGGAGCTGTTCCACGTTGTGTGATTATCCACTGGAGCAGGAACTTGATCCTGGTGTCTCCTATGTCCCAGGTTAGTGCTCAGACCGCTGGCCCATTATGTTAATCTTTCTTTTATTTTTCATCCCAAGGAATATTTAATTATTATGTTGTTTAGTCCTAGCTTCTGGGCTTCTTGTACTCTGAGGTTGGTGGGCACTCTTTCCCCCACTTCAAATTTCTTCTCTAGTTTTGACCAGGGATGACTTCTTAGATCTGTGATTTTTCTCCATGAATTTTGTTTTGTTGTTGGCACTGGTAGGTTCCTGTTTAAATAAAAAAAAAGCCTGTGCAATGGGATGGCATACTTCAGTGAAAACCCCATCAGCCCTAGTCTCCAAAGAATGAAAGAATGCTTAACTTCCACGATACCCCAAATTGCTTTCTAACCTATTACTTGTTAGTTAACACATAACGTCTTGCACTCTGGTAGGAGTTTCCTTCCTTTAAAGATTCCATAATGATACATAAACTTTATAAATACGGGACTCGGTATCCGCCCAGGGCAGTCACATATGGGGTAGAGCCTACCTGCCATTACACATAGCATGGTGGTGTTACAGAGCTCTTTTATTTCACTGGGTGCCAAGAGAGAGCTCACATTGCTTAGACATCATGGGGCATGGGGTGTATTAGTTGTTAAAATCTATTTGTCATAAATGGAATTTGCCAGGACATTTGCATTTGATTTAATACTACAACACTTATGAAAGGTCAGTTTGACCTTAGATGACCATCACCTGAAAGGCAGCACCTCAAGTGTGTGCTTTGACACCCACTCATGGAATAGTTGATTTAATTTTAACTCAATAGGAAATGCTTCCCTGCTGCATCATTTCCAGCCATCTGATGCTGACCCTCTTTCCTTGAATTAGTCCTATTCAGAAACTATCCAGGCTCTGATATGTTGTGAAGTCTGATAAGGTCATAAATGACCTGATGTGGACAGGACAGACTGAACACACTAAGAAAGGTAGTTAGCTCAAAGCAGGGTTAGTCCAAAGTCAGTAAGAAGGCAGGGTAGATATGCATCTTTGTCGACTAACTAAATAAGGTATGTAGTGCACAGGCTTTTGTGAACTCAAGTTCACTTCATCAGATGCTGAGCACACACACCAAATCATTCTTCTTGCAGGTTGTATCCTGGCACAGTATTTATTCATTATTTTAAAAACATTTATACACTATCAGACACATGATTTAAAATAAAAAAAATTGCCTTTTACTTAAGGGATGAAATTAAGAAAAGGAAAATAGAGTATTGACTCGAGGAGGAAAAAACGATCTATCGTGGTGGCGAGATCCATTAGGCTGCAGCTGATCTGGTAAGAGAAACAGCAGGGCCCGAGCACATGGAGCAGTCAAAGAGCTGGATGGAGACACATTTGAACATTTACTAGTGCTGGGAAGGCTCTTTCCTCTCTCTCACTTCTTTGATGCTATTATTTGCCTATTTGGTCAATCCTGTTTCATTTGTCGTTGAGTTTAATATGTGATGAATTTGGAATCTTTGGTACAAAAGACAATATAGGGTTAAGATGTTAGTATTTGATAAGGAAAAGTCCACCTGACTTCAATAAACATTGACCTTGAGGTTTTCACAGCTAAAACTTTGACCTTACCTAGATCTCTTTGGAAAACTTTGTTTGAGTTCATGCTCTAATGCAATTAATCTTAAGTTCCTTTGGCTTTGCTGAATGGGGCATGATCCCATTTCAAACTGACCTTTTATTAACCTTCGTTCAGATTACATATAAGACTTGCTATTATCAGAATCTAGCACAAAATTGTAGGAAGTACATAATAATTGGCACTCTTTAACAGTATTGCATAGCATTTTCAAAGTACGGCGCTACTTCAATAAAAAAAAGGAGCAATATATATCACAGATACTCTTCTGTTCTATCATGGATGCTCTCTGAACCTACGATTTCTAATTTCCTGCAGAAAGGCTCTCCTTGACTTTAGGCTTTAGACTTTCTAACCCAACGCTACTTCTTCCTTAAGAGTCCATAAGATTTAGTTTAGCAAAATGCAAGTGTTTGTAATGTTGTGTTTGGAAAACGATTCATTATTATATCCTGCTTCAAATTTTCAAAGCATTAACAATTTAATCCCCAAAGTAGTTAAGAATAGTTGCCTTAAGTTTCTTGATGGACAATCCAAGCTATAAAAATCTTAAATAACTCTCCCCAAGCCAGGCATTGAGTCAATGATGGATTTTATGGATCTGAGGCTCTAGTTTTCACCCCATCAAGCCTTCCATTAAAGAAGGGTCAGCCCCTGCCTGACTATGTCTCATACTACACACTTCAGCATCTTCCTACTAGCTGCAGAATATTTTTTATGTATTTAGTACTTGGGTTAGTTCCTGCTGATGTCAATGGAAAGGTCCATATATTGTGGAAGTCACGTTCATTTTTACTCTATAGTCAATATTACATAGCACTCTGCTAAAAGTAGGTTCATAAATAGCAAAAGACAGCACAAAGTACAGTAGCTTTAAAAACTTTACACCAAGTATGCCTGAGGGTTGCTTGGGTCTTTGTCTTTTCCTCTATCACGACAAGGTAGGAAGTTCTGGCTGTGCCGGTTGGGAGTCTTTATTTTCAGACCTGACGTTCTCCATGGCCTTTTCTTCCCGAGCAGAATATCAGCACCAGCTCCATCGAAATCTTGCTCTAGATCTTAAAGGTTGAGACGGAAAAAGCAATGGAGAATAAGTATAGGGATTGATCCTATAGTGGCATAGAACAGATTACTTCTGTGTCCTTCCTCTGTCTCTTCTTCACCCAAACTCTTTAGTTTCCAATTCTGCCACGTTCCAGAATTATCATCTTCGGGGCCTTGGTGCTTTTGAGTGGTCTGACAATTTCTGAAGGAGCAAGAGTATCTCATGAACATGGAGACAGGTTTCAGAGTGTCCTATTTGTTGCTGTATGTGCTGGTTCAGTGTGTCCAAATACGTTTTACTGAAGTATGGTTGAGAGAAATTGTAGGGTTTTTAGAAAAGGATGGCCAGGTTCAAAGGTTCGTGTGTCATGGTTAGTCCTTAACTTATATCATATACATATAGGGAGGTGTGTGTGCGCAGGCACGTGTACATATGCAGATATATACATCTACACGTGTATGTACACTTACGTGTGTGTGTATGTGTACATATCTGCATACATATAAATGTGCACTCTACACATAGAAACATGAGAGAAAAGAGACATTAGGTCCTCAGAACATCCAGTCCTCTACAGAGTATTTGTATAGCGAACAAAATTGATCCCTTGCTTTAAATTTACTCAAGCTTCCTTTAACTCCCCAAGGTAGCTGTACCACTGCTTTTTATTCTAATGTACACTAAACGAGCTAAATGCTGCTATGCAGTATCCAGCCCCATCCAGGCACTTAGAGAGTCACACTATCAAAAAGTTAGGTTAAGGACTTTTGGGCAGCTTGGAGCAGCTCTGATAGAAAGGTCCCCAGTGAATCAACTGTGTGATGTGCGCATCATAGGGGCAGGCAATTATTTCGGGCGGAGGGCCGCTTACTGAGTTTTGGCAAGTCATCGAGGGCCGCAGATAATTATTAATTTTCTAAATTTTTTAGGGTCCTCGTGGGCCGGATAGAAGGGCCTGCCGGGCCGCATTTTGCCCACCCCTGAGTATCACAAAGGAAAGAACTCAAAGGAGGATAATATACTTAGTTGAGTTGCTACTTTCTTGAGGAAGCTTATTTAAAGGTTATGAGCACATTTTCATTTATAAAACAATTAAAATGTTGGAATACATTAAGCCAACGGAAGTGAGAGAGAGAGAGAGAGAGAAACTTTGGTGAAAACTCTTGAAAGTATGTGATCAAGGACCCATTGATAGCTGGGCAGCCAGATATTTAAGGATGTTACCTTGCAGAAGTCATTTACCCAGAGGCAAACTCTATAATGTTGACTGAACCTGACAGAATACATGGCTTAGAATTAAAACACAATGGGACTACAGCTCACAGGTTTTTTTTTGTATTGCCTGCATAGCAAGAATACAAAAGCATCTACGTGCATAAAACACTGTTCCTTGCATTCTAAATATAGCAGCGCCCACTTGAATGAATATTTCATAGAAGAATAACCTATATAAAAGGAATAAATGTATGCAGCAATAATATCAGTAGGCTATTATTTTTAAAGTGTATTTCTCTTAAGTGAGTAAATGAATACCTGATCAAGGCGTCAACCTCTGGTATGAATAACATTTCTATAGAGCTCCCTGCAGCCATATGCATAAATCGGTTCCCGGTCAGAACATTTCTTTTTTTAAAAAGGGATTTTAAGTTGAAGGGTAAAAGTTGAGTTTTGTTAAAAAAACAACAAAAAAACCAAACAAACAAACAAAAAAAAAGGGTTCACACATGTAATATGTTAAAAGAGCATGCACGTTTCCGTCATTTATGCATTTTTTTTTTTAAATTAAGCAGCTTACTTGGGAAGGACACAGGGGAAAAGAAAAGATTTCAATCGCCATACTGTGTAGTGAACCCTAGCAATAGTAGATCCCATGCTGGGACCGTAGAGTGGCCAGGCCCTGGTCTGACAGGTAGCGGGTGGGATGTTTTGGGGTGTTTTCATTCTTCGTCTGTCTGGAAAAAAAATTTAGGGCAATGGTAGTGAATTGTTGTTCTTCCCCGAGGGCTCGCTCTGTGGGGTTTTGCGGGGTCCCATCTTGTCTCTTCTTCTAATAGAAGAAGTGTTCCCAAAGTAGAAAAGATCAGAGGGTGAGTGCAGAAGGGTTGCAAGGCCTTGAGTGCAAGAAATGGCATCTGCTTTTTCTCTTTCTCTCCCAAACCAGACGGTGCCACAGACCCGTGAGTCGGACTGAAGCATGGATTAGAGCGAGCTGTCCAAGCCATGTCCAGGGAGCGACCAGAGGTGGTACCGGTAAGGTAAGAAAGGCAGCTGCAAAATTTGTTTCTGCCTCTGTGACAGTGAACATTGCTCATCCCCTGTTTGTGCAACTTTAGAGTCCACATTGTTGGCCGGTTAAGGTTTAGCAGGGGTCAGGTTTTTTTTTTTTGGTTTGTTCATTTCTACTAGCCAGGAGGTTCACTTTATTTCTTTCTATTGTTGTGACATGGACCACCTCAAGTCTGATCTGTCGGGATGCTGTATACCCAATAGATACCCAAACTTGGCGCAGATACCACCATGCAATAAGCAGCCTGTTGTATCTCACGGTAAGCATATTACCCTGATGCTTTGCAATCCATGGTGGCTGTGTCTATGGCTTTCCGAATGGCATTTAATGTGTTGGCATTTACCCCCAAAGCCCTAATAGCCTGCAACCATCCTAGCTGAACAACTGTATCTCTTCTGTCACGGCATATTGCTAGCTTAGTCCCCCATTGATTATACAAAGGCGCTCCTTTTAAAATGGATTACGTTTTTTTTCTGTGGACTGGTCATGTCCTTTGGTTCTCTTCCAAAATACCGTTCAGACATGTTTCATGTCTCCACCTTTCACTGATTTATTTATTTTTTTGAGAGGGGGTGGGGGAAGAGGTGTTTGGCCAAAGATCAGGCCATTTTTATGAGATTAAAAGTTGGTTGATGAAGTATTAGTGTTGGTGTAGTCTGCTGCTCTAAGACATTTGACTCGGTACCACTTGATATCTTGGGCAATCAACTAGAATGATACAAAGTCAACGGCACACATTAAATGGTGTAAAAGCTGCTTCCATGATAGGTCTGAAAATGCAATGATAAATCCAGGCTCGTTGTCACGTGGCTGTTTTCTAATGGGATCCCACAGGAGTTGTTTTTTGGCTCTGTTCTACTGAACATTTTTATCAATGAGTTGGAAGAAAACACAAAGTTATTAATAACCAAGCGTGCAGATGACAAAGATTGGGGGAATGCTAAATTAAGATGAGGATAGGTCTACTGATGGAAAGATGTGGATCTGGACTCAGGCGGACAGTATGCATTTCAATACAGTCAAGTGTAAGGTCTCAGAACAGATGAATAATGTAAGACGCACAGGATGCAAGATGTTATTTTGGGAAGAGGTGACTCTGAAACGGATGCTGTGAGTTGAGACCTGTAAATCAGCTGAAGGGGGCTCCCAGCGCAGTGTGGTTCAAAGGGCTAATTTGACTCTTGAATGTGTAAATAAAGAAATCTTGAGCAAGGGATTAGAAGTTGTAATGCCTTCCTTTTGTATTTGGCACAAGGACAGTTGAAGCTGAAATGCTGTGTCCAGTTTTGGTGTCCACAGTTTAAGAGGGAAGTTGAAAACCTGCCGAGTTCGAGAAGGAAGCACAAACATGATTTAAAAACTGGAATGCGCGCCTTATAGTGAGAGATGAATGAAGCTCAATCTGACTTCAACAAAGACGGGTTAAGGGATGACTTAATCGCAGTCTATGGGTGGGTATATAGAGAGCAGGATTTGATTAAGAGCGCTTTGATTTACAGAGGTCTAGCACAGTGATTCTCAGCCAGGCTGTGACAGCACCCTGGGGTGCTGGGAGATCCTTTTAAGGGTGATGCACACTATGTTAGGTGTACAAGCACCTAAACGTGGTTCACAAGACAAACCCGGAGCTTTCAAATAGGAATCCGTAGCATCAAAAACATGCTGACCCGTCGTGATGTTTCCCAGTTCAATGCAACAGAAGTGCTCCGTTATTTTTTCACAGTCAAAAAACAAAAGCAAGCAAAGAGCTGGCATTTTATGAGGGGCTGCCTTGAGTCTAAAAAGGTTGAGAACCACTGGCTTAACGGGAGTCAATGGCTGGAAGCTGAAGCTAGACAATTGAGTCTGGAATTAAGGTGCCAGTTTTCAGCGATGGGGATAATTAATCATTGCGACAATTTACCAAAGGCCATGGGAAATTCTCTCACTAATGTTTATTACATATTTTTCCCCTAAAAATGATGTTTTGTTCCAAGCACAGCAGGATCATTTTGGAGCTGGCCTGTGATGTGCCAATGCTCCCGGCGGGACCAGAGCTGAGGTCTCCTGGCTGGAGGGTCTTCCCCTCTGCTCGGGGTCAGGCTGGTCACTGTATTGGGGGTCAGGAAGGGATTTTTCCCCATGGTCACTGTCAGAGAAAAATTTTGTGAGTGTATGCTGACAACACAGAGAGTTGAAGCTGACATGCGCAGACAAGCGAAGTGCATGGAAAATTCCCCAGCATGCCCAGCACGTGCCCCCTACGTGACCTGACAGCTTGTCAGTCATGCGGGACCTACTTTTCCAGCACGGGCATGCTCAGTCACAGTAACTGCATGAGGTAATTTGTCCAGAAGTTTCCAGCAGAACAGCAGCCTGATTGGCTATGAGGCTGCTATAAAAGCTTGTGAGTCCCTCCCTTAGGAGGGGGAGACCCGCTTGGCTGGTGAGCAGAGGCTGTACTTACAGGGACTGCTTCTCAGCCAGGCCTTTTGGCCCATTGGTCTCCTCCACGATACGATCGGCTATTGGATTCGATCTCGATTCCGTGTTTGATTCTTTGGTTACTAAAACTGCTTTGGCTTTCGATCCTGACTGCGATTCTGCTCAATCCGACTTACCTCGATTACGGGTTCATCTCGTCACACCTGGCTTTCGACCTCGGCATCGGCTACCATCACATCTACCTGTTGTCCACTTTGGACTGGCGTCACGACGTTTCTGACGAGTTACAGTTTTGTTCTCGTTATTTGTTATCCACCTATGAGCTGTTGACCAGTCCTGGGACTAGCAAG